CTGAGTGACTCATCTCCTCCCCACTACCATTCTGCAAGAGATGTCCTGTTGTCTACAGATGGGCATTGGGTCCCCATCACGCTCTCCCATCATTCATGATGATATGATTTCCCCCCCTCCCCTGCCTTTGGTGCTTGAAACCTGGTCCCCTCGGCCCTTCATGATCACACGTGTTGGTGTGCTGCTTCCATGTGGGCTTTGTTGCTTCTGGGCTAGATGGCTGCTTGTTTACTTTCAAGCCTTTAAGACCCCAGACGCTATATCTCTCCATAGCTGGGCACCATCAGCCTTCTTCACCACACTTACTTATGCACACATTTGTCTTCAGTGTTTGTGTGAGGAAGGTGATCACACAATGATGGTTTTTGTTTTTTGGTGTCTGCTACCTGATCCCTTCAACACCTCGTGTTCACTCAGGCTTGTGTGCTTCTTGTCTGTGGGCTTTGTTGCTTCTGAGCTAGATACTGCCACCATTTTCTAATACTTCTCCCAGAATCACTTGCCTTTTCTGGTTTTCTGACACATAAGTTCGGAACCCTTTGGGTGCTTTCCATTTGTTTATCTTCTACTACAAATTAATCTCTAAAAGTCCATATAATTTTTCAGAACTGGACCACGAACAATGAATGCCCCATCTCCTTAATCTGATCCTTTGTTTTTGTTCTGCAATATTGTAATCAAGAGTTTACTTTCTGTAGAATTTTTTCTAATCCTCCTTGTGCTCCACAGTTTCAGTCTTTTATTCTTTCCTTAACATTTTATACTGGTTCATGACTACTTAATAGTATACCATTGGTGTTCTTTGTCCTTTTAATGATTCTCTTGCATATATTTGGAGTATTTTATCTTAGGGATAATTTAAAAGTATCTCTATGTATGTCTATGTTGGAAAGGTAAATAAGGAAGGAAATTGTCAAACTTATTTTCTGAAGTTAATAAAGCAACAACAAACCGGTAGGTAGCCAGTAGCTGGTTGTCCCTCTCCATGCCAAGGCGTTCCTACAGGAGGTTGCTGCAGAGAATCAGGCAAGCCCAGCCAGCCGTAAAGGCTAAAGGGCACACACAAATTCAGGCCCTTAAGCCAAAAAGTCAGTACACCTGAGTGAGCCCCAATCTAGGTCAGGTGGGCTTAATTCAGCTAATGGGATCAAACCAGTACTGTGGACCTAGCCTCCCAGCAGAAGTAGGGCACTAAAATGCCAGAACTTCGAGACCACTGTTTCTCTGAGCTCCCGTGTGGCTGGGCTGGTGTCTCTGTCTGTCTTTCTGTCTCCCTCGCTCGCTTGTGTTCTGTTTACTGTAATGCCTGAAACGTCTCCTATCCTTTATAAAAACCTACTCGGATCACAAACCAAGCTTCAGCGTGAATTCTTTCTCATGCAAAGGCAAGGACCGAGGTATTTCTCACCTAACAAAACCAAACCTCAGTTTTCCATAAGTAAAGTAATCTTTTAAAGAGAAAGGCAAGCCAGTCCCTGGGATAGAATATTGGACAAAGTATCCATACAGAGAATAGATAAACATCTAGAAATCAATTATAAAAATGACACTCTAACACAAAAATGGAGAAATACTAGAAAGGACATTCACAAAAGCATCTGGTCTACTAACAGTCTTATAAGAAGATGCTCATCATTAGTCACTAAAGAAATACAAAATAAAACAAAGAAGTAGCACTAAACACTCAGCAGAATGACAACAATTGCCAAATGTTGGCAAAAAGGGTGGAGCAACTGGGATATTGCTAATGGTAGTGTAAGATAGTACAGTCACTTTGGAAAAATGGGCTTTCTTACAAAGCTATAATATACCTACCATATGGTCCAGCAATTCCACTCTAAAAAAACAAACAAACTGCGTATGCTCAGAAAAAGGTTTGTTCAAGAATTTTCCTAGCTGTTTCCGCAACCCCAACCAATTGTTATAAAATGGAAATAGCCAAATGAAAATCAGCAGAAGAATGCATTAACCAAGGTTGTACATTTACACAATGGAATAAATACATTTAACAATAAGCAGATGAACCACTGATACTTGCAACAACATCAATAAAAAAGCAAATCATTATACATTTACATATGGGAACACAAATGTTTTCAAAATGTATATACCACTATAATCATCATACTGCTAAGGATACAGAACATATATATCATGGCAGAAAGATCTCTTCATATTTCTTTTCAGCCAATATCTACATCAGATAAAATAACTTTTTGGACTTTTATTGCCATACATTAGTGTTGCGTATTACTGAAATCCATATGCATGAAATCTTACAAGATATAAAATAAATGATACCTATTCTTTAGTGTCACTTATGTTCTAAAACCTGTTACCATGAAGTTAATTCCAACTCATGGTGCCCCATGTATGTCAGGGTAGAACTGTACACCATAGGGTTTTCTTGGAGGTTAAACATTCAACTACTAGTCAAAAGGTGGGTAGTTCAAATCCACCCAGAGGCTTGGTGATTTGCTTCTGAAAGGTGAACCTGTGGGGCAATTTTCACTCTCTACTCATAGGGTCACCAGGAATTGGAATCAACTCAATAATTAATAACATCAGTCTTTAAGGAAACAGAAATCTAGACCTTTCTCTTTTGATGCTGTAGGGTAGGTTCCAATCATTGAAACTTTAGGTTAGTAGAATAGTGAAAACCATATGTACCAGCAGAGGCCTAACTATTCAGGGGCTAACAATTTTACAACATTTAATTCCCTCTCAAGCATTATTACAAACTAACGTGATAGGGGCCACATTTTCCCAATATTTAAAATGCGGAGACTGAAGCTACGAACGGTTCAGTGACTTGATGTTGACAGATTAAATGGGTGGATAGACCTAGGTCTCCATGACCACAATATTTGTGATTTTCTTTTATTTTTTTCATTTTGGCTGCCCGAGTTCCGTTTTAGGAAGTCAGGGAAGACTGTCTGCTTCTCTCCACTGTGTTTTCTCATCCATCAACTTACTCTGTAAACTGTTTAATGCCTTCATTTAGATGCTTACCTTGCTTTGGCGTTTAATGACATATGCTTTTCTTTTCTCCAGTTCAGCTGCCTGTTCCTTGAGGGCAGGGATCAAGTTCTATATGAATCCTCCGAATACGTATTGTTGTGAAAGGCACATTAAAGATTTATTCAATGCAGAAAGGATGGAGAATATGAAACAATGAAGACAGATTATGTAGGGTCTGTCACTGGGATATATTTCAAGCTTCAATTTCGGTTTCAACAGTGAACCAAACAGGAAGACAGGAAGATTGCAAAGGAAAATAATTGAATGGTGCGTCTTGTAGCTGTAAAGAGTTGTCAGTGGACTTAGCCAGTGTTGAGCTAGAAAGTGCAAATAGATATCTTACTGGCAAGTAACAGATCACACCTCCTAGCTCACTTTTCCCCAAATCAAAACAAAACATTCATTCACCTATCTATTCATTCATTCAACTTTATGTCCATTAATTTAATATTTATATTAAATAATTTATCCACTCTATCATCATAAATTCAGTCATTTACTCATGGATCAATCAACTCATACCTTCATTCATTCATTCAATGATCAATAAAATATGATTTATGCTTAAAGTAGGGTACTATGCAGACTGACTTAAGTCTCAGGTGAACTATTGTACTAATGCACTTATTTTTTCTTGGATTTCAGATAACACTCTCCCAACAACCAAAGCAGAATACGCTTCTTGCCAGCCCCTTTTCCTCATAGCAAGCTTGAAATCTGACCCATCACTCATGTTCAGACTCTGCTTTTTCACGACCGCCCTTTTCTGGATTGGTAGTTTCTTACATTAATCTTTACTTGCCCATTTAATCTTGGAATCTGGTTAACTCTTTGTCTTTCACCCGTTGATGAGAGCCTTTGGTATTTGTATTGCTCAGAAGTCTTACAACAACATGTTTATTCCTGTTCCACATGTTCCTTGAGGATCGGCTTAGAGTTCTAGGTTAATACTCTGAGTACACTGTGGGAAACTGAGAACCTGGATAAATGTGTAAGTGGCCTAACCTCTACACTTGTGACCACAGGGCTTGGAAGACCAGCTCTAGTTAAAGCGGATTTCCACAGTTCTGAGACAGAGATACAACCTAATATGTTTTCTCCAAATAGAAAGAGTTCTCTCAATAACAGGCCTCCTTTAAGATGCTAATGTAAGTCTTTCTTGTACAGGCATTTGGCTTCCCCCTACAGGACTGAAAGATGCCTGTCTGTAAAAGCAGTCAAACTCCTTTCGTCCCTATCAAACTAGGAGTCAGCTTCTCCTTTGTCCCTTCCTTGTCCGGTACTCAC